GCTCCTGCAAGGAGCCCAAAACTCGAGAAAGCCGCCCCAGCCCCCGGGCGCTGTTCGCTTCCCCCGTCCAGCCTGGCGTTTCTGTTCATACCCTCACCCTGCCGCTGCCCTCTTTTTCAAAAATGGATTATGGCACTTTGAGTACACCCATGTTCATATTGTTAGTCATGTATGTTAATTTATCATCACTTGTGATATTTCTAAATTTGTACAGGAATCACAAGCCCTGTCCTGATCACTTTTGATTTCTTAATGTTTCTCTTGTATTCACATGCAGACAGCTTTATTTTATAAGCTTAGTATAACACTGGTATGTATCATTAAAGAAGTTGGTCTTTAAAAACAACTGTGAGTGGAGAGGTTTCTTTTGAGGGCTCTTAGTGACACCTGTGACGTTACCAGGATGGCTCCCGAGCTCATCCTTGGAGTCGGAGGGGCGAGGACACAGGCACTTCCGCTCAGTCCTGGAAGCTTCTAGTCTTAAAAAGGTAGTATTAATAACTCCTAATCTATTTCAGTTAAACCTTCCTTAGGGCACCTGGCTGACCTTGTGTGGAGCAGCTTAAAACCATGAAAATGAGCTCTGTGCCTTTTCCTCTTCCTTTTTTTCTTTCTAGGCAGCTTTTTGCATCTTTAAAACAGTGGCAGAATTGGCAAGTACTAATCCCCTTTAAAACTAGCAGAACCTGATGCTTGTTTTGGAGACTGGAGGAGGCTCTGCCCCCACAGCCCTTTTACTACTCTGAAAGGGCACAGAACCCCCCGCCCCTTACTTTAATCCTCACTGGTGATTTTCATTCCAGAAGTCCGGTGTGGAGGTAACAGCTCCAGTGAACAGACAGGTATTAGAGAAGTGGCTTCAGCTGGGAGAAATACCCTGAAACAGGACAGCTCCCTAACAAAGCTGAATCCTATATGCAAGCAATCAAAAGACATTTATTTATATAAAGTTCTGTAAAAAAATAAATTTTAGAACAGCATCGTTTCATAGAGAAAAACATTTTCTACAGCATTCAACTGCAAGATTTTTATATTGTACCATCATTAAATAAGGTGGGACACCACGTGAATTTCATTGCACTAGAAGAAATGCAAAGCATCTTTTTAATATAAAGATATACAGAGCATTCTAGACAACTACAGCTGTGTTACAGCTATGTGTGTGTTTGGATTTGGTCCAAAGCAACCTGAGTCTGTTTCCAGAGCGTGACGGACATTGCACAGAGCTGCCGGCCCCTTCCTGGACACGCAGGGACCCTCCCTGTGCCCGCGGCTGCGGCAGAGCCTCAGTCACCTCTTCTGCTCCCAGATCTCAGCCATGTTCAGGTCCAGGTCGTTGAGGCCTTTCAGAGCTTGAAGGTTTCCAGTGTAAAAAGCTACGTCCGCTGTCACCAGCCTGCAGCGAAACCAGGTGCAGTTAGTGCCCGAGCCCACGGCGGCCTGAGATCTAGTGCCCACCCGGGCTAGTCACATGCATGTTAAATACCAGGTCAGAACAGAACGCTACTGACTACTGCCCATCTTACAGCTTAAAACCTGGATTCAGTTTTAACTTGGAATATTAATTGCTGTAGTATTAACTTGAGTATTTTGGATGCTTAATATAAAAGGAGCCCAATGCACTGCCCGTTTAACAGCTGATGCACAGTTAAAAGCCCTCGAACAGCCTGGAAAGATCCTGGGCTCAGAACCCCCATCCTGCTGTCCCCTAGCAGCAAGCAGCAGGATGTAGGAACAGCAGGAAAAATTTAACCAACATTCACAGAATTGGATTTTTAACCATTATTAAAGAAACAAGCACTTCAGCATAGGATAAGAGGGGAAAAAAAAAAAACAGGTTTGAGACCTAGATCAATGAAAACTGGTAGCAACAGACCTGGTAGGGCAGGGGCCAACATTGACCTCCCCATCTACACCAAGCTGCTGTCCCTCTTACAGCTAAAAAACACCCAGTGCCACCCGAGTAACCTGGAGCGCAGCCGCGTTCTGCAGCCACAGCTCCCAGCAGGGCTGAGCGGCTTCGGGTGCCTTTTGTAATGCTCAATATCAACGAACGTACCCGTTCTGAGGGCCTCCATCATTGACAACGTTGAGGTGGGCTAGCTGCCTCTTCAGATGAAGTTTGTAGCTTGCATTAATCCTTAAAAACAACATCTAGAAGAACCCACAGAACAAGAATAAGGAACCATCCCCATATTTGTGTCATTGCCTACAGAAAAACACACTGCAAACCATGTCTTAAGTCACTAAGTTTCCATTGTGTTCTTGTAAACCAGGTTGGTTTTTTTTTGCTTTCTAAGCTTTCTGGCCACATACAGCGTGTATGTGTGTGTGTGTGTGTGTGTGTGTGTGTGTGTGTGTATAAATATATGTATATGTGCCACAGCAGGTGGGACTGTGTACATCCTCACCCGTTTGTTACGTGCCGAATTTAGAGCACACAGTCTCTGGAACATGAATGTCTCTTCCCTATTGCCTGAAGCACCTAGCAGCATATGTTAAGGCTAGAAAATAAATGACTCTTCTGACCTTTTTACTGTACTAAGACTATTAAAGGTTTCTTTTTTCTCCAAAAGGAAGTGGAAAAAAAAAAAACCCAAGAGTGCAAACAGACCTTTTAGTTTAGCGTAAAAGAGAAACTACAACTCTGCATTCCATGACTGTGTCAGGCTTCCTGTTCTTAGATTTACAGTTCTGCAGAAGCACTAACTGCAGGGGAAGCACAGACAAACAATGAAATCCACATCTAGCAGACTTGGCTTCACGTTGGATTTAAGGACCTCAACCCTGTTCAGCATTACAGAAGAATTCCCTACAAGGATTCCCTGGAAGGGCTGCCTTTGAGTCACCAGCGTTGCCAGCACCTCAACCCATTTCTGCGTTTCTGCCTGGATGAAGCACCGGTCGCGCACATGGAGGCTGCTGCTACCTGAGTCTGCTCCTCGGGAAGGAGCTCGGAGATGGCTTCGTGCATCTTGGCCATCTGCTTGCAGATATTCCTGAAGCACGCCGAAGGAACGGGAGCTTTCACTTCATACTGCAACAGGAACAGAAGGATGAGTCCTTTCCACGCCTCGGAGCGGGGGATGCCCCGTCCCATGGGAAGCCCTGCGCTGCTCATGGCATTTTCACACATTACGGATTCAGAGACACTCTGCGGCTCTGCTTCGCTTCCTGCACACAGCCCCAGCAACTCCCGACTTGGTCCATTCATCTTAGTTAGGTTATAATTGGTTTGGGCTTCTTTAATTGGTTCTCTTTGCTCATTATTTTTGCTCGGTTGCCATTAACCCACAATAATTATCCACATGCCAGGTCAGCACCAAACCGCCCGCCTGCCTGGCGCACGCAGCGCCGCTTCCACGGAGAGAGGGGAACAGCCTCCTGTGTCCTGCTTGCTGCCCACCTGTCTTGGGCTCTGGATTCTCACCAGGGCCAGTGCAACAGGAAACCCTCTCTACTGTGTGCACCTCCCAGGGTTTCTCCAGAATGGTCTTCCAAGACACATGCATTAGAATTTCTATCCAAATAAAAGCCCTAAGGAAACTCAGCATGGGCCAAGCTGAAGAAACACTGCACAAGTACCCGGGAAAGCAGAGTGAGGAACATCCCTTCCCTCACAGTGCCCAAGATGGGAACAACAAGGCCCTGGGCAGCCAGGGCTAGAAAATGAACCCGGCTCCTCTGCTCCCACCACGGAGAGGGCCGATCCGAGCTGGATTCAGAGGCACCGCGGGCAGGTTTTCCGCTGGGAAACCCCCTGGTTTTTATGTTCCCCGGCGTCTTCGCTGCCAACACGACGTTTGGGAAACGAGAGAGGCCAAAACAGGGCAGCCGCCAGGAGGGGAGGCCAATAAGTCGCCCGTGGTCGCCTTCCCTCCCGCGAGTGCGGGGGGCGTCCCGGGGAGCCGGGCGGCCTCGCTCTGCCCTCGGGAGCCCTCAAGGACAGGAGCAGCCTCAGGTTGCAGCTCCCGCGGACCCGAGGAGAGCTGGAAGTGATCCCAAGGGACAGATACTGCTGACTACTGGCAACCAGGCAGACACTGCTGCTGGGGGCTGACTTCCTTAGGACCCAGGGTCTAACTTACAGCGTTTGCCTCTTGTTCTCAAGGCATAACAGCAAAAGTGATCGAAAAGGCAACCTACGATACAGCACAGGCCTCCCTCTCTAGGTGGAGACCACTATATAGATCTCTTAAAAGCTCATAAACACATTTCACAAGTGACTTGAAGAGGATAGCATAAACGCCGAGGGAAGAACATGGGCTCCTAAAAGGAACAGGTTTGCCCAAGCCCGCCAAATCTGCCACTGAAGAATTAATCTTTCCCCCACCCCATCATGAAATGGCTTAAAAAGTGGCAGAAAACCCAGAGCTAAAGCTGCCCAGGGGAGCAGAACACTTCAGTCTGTAACACCAGAGCAGCTGCAGCAGCCGGAGCAGATCCGGTCGCGGTGACGGAGCCAACAACCCATTGGTGGTGGTGTTGGTGGTGCTACTGTGTGTGTGTGTGTGTGTGTGTGTGTGTGTGTGTGTGTACGGAGGGTGCACGGTACCCAGGCGGTGAGTGCAGC